GAGGCAAGGCAGCAGCTGTTGAACATTCAGTCGTGGAGGCCTCTCTGGGTATATGTGGTCCAACAGTGGCTGGCACAGAAGTGCTGGGAGTAACACCACCCCTACCACTTTCTTTTCTCTCTACTCTTATGAGTTTTATGGAGTTAGTACTCCTCCCCTGGACAAAAACTCCGAAGTTCTTCTCATGGACTTAAGACCCTCCGTGACTTGGCCTCCCGCCCCTCCTCCTCCACTCTCTTTGGCGTTCTCTGTCCTGGCTGCGCTGGCCTCCTTGTTCCGGGAAATGCCTTGGGCTTCACGTTTGCTGGGCCCTCTGTTGGGATGCTCTTCTTGCACAGAGCTGCCTGGCTCATTCCCTCACTCCTTTTAGGCCTCTGTGAAGAGGCTCCCTTAACAAAGAGGCTTTCTCTGCTCACCCCAAGTCAATTAGACACCTTCACTCGCGCTCCCACTCCCCTTACCATGCGTCATATCTCCTCGTAGCTCTTTATCATCACCACATAACGTATTCTGTGTCAATCTCTTTACTGTCCATCTCTCTCCCTGAATGTCACTGTTTTGGTTGCTGCCGCATTCCTGATGCCTGGAAGAATGTCTGGCACATGCAGGCTTTCAATAAATATTTGTTGAGTGAGTGAATGGCTGACTACATCTGATGAGAAGAGAGGCTTTGATGACTCTTTAGCATTGATATGTAATCTGTTGAGTGCATGTTTGCCACATTTATCAACATTTTTTAAAAACTAGATGGATTTTCTGATAGTATTATCTCATCGGTGCAGGGGACTGCCTCAGCGTTGGGCCACAAGCCAGGCTATTCCTGGAAGGATTGCAGGACAGGCTCACAGGGTGGTGCACAGGCTTGTGCCCCAGGGCCCTTCATGTCTGAGAAGAGGGCCGTGACACTTCTGGGATGTCCACAGTGACCTCACTCTTATTTGATTTCCCCTGGAAGGCAGCTCACGTTACTTCCCTCTCTGCACATGAAGTAGAGGAAAGGAGTGTATTAGTCAGGGCTCTCTAGAGAAACAGAACCATAAGATATCTATCCATCCTATTGGATATATATCCTACCAAATATGTAGATACACACACACACACATATTGGGGGAAGAGAGAGGGGGAGGGAAGAAGGGAGGGATAGAGAGGGAAGGAGAGAGAGAGAAATTTGTTTTAGGGAACTGGCTCATGTGATTATGGGGCTGGCTAGTCTTAAATTTGTAGGGCAAGCTGGCAGGCTGGAAACTCAGGAAATTCCTATATTGCAGTCTTGAGGCTGAATGCCTTCTGTTTCAAGAACTCTCAGTCTTTGCTGATAAGGCCCTAAACTGATGAGCTAAGGCCTGCCACAGTATAGAGTGTAATCTGCTTTACTCAAAGTCTACTGATTTAAATGTTAATTACATGCCAAAAACACCTTCACAGCGACACCTAGATAGGTGTTTGATCAAACAACTGGCCACTATAGCCTAGTGCATAGAAATAACTATCCCAGGGACTCATCCCGGCAACAATATACTTGCTGGTGGAGAGTCCAGTAGCTACAGTCTCTTAGAATTGGGAGGAGCTGCCAAGGTGCCTTATCTCATTCACGCCTTGGGTTGAGTCCTGTGGCAAGTCACACCAGTGAACAGTGGGGCCCCATCAGGAGGGACTGGGGAGAGGTGCCCAAGCTCCTTATTCTACCCTGTTCTGGCCCTCCCCTGGCCTGATACCCCAGACCCATATCCCTTGGGCCCTGAGTCATCGCCTAGCTTTTCCCTTTTGTTACTTCATTTATTCTGACCTCTAGGACCAAAAAGAGAAATCAGTCCCTATTCACATGGAGCTTACATTCTAGCTGAAAATCAGTCAATAACACAAACAAATAAAAATATTTTAGCCCATGGTAAATACTATAAAGAAAATAAGACAATGAGATTGGTGCTGATGGGGTCTCACCTTTCTGAGGAGGTGCCGTTTGAACTGAGAGTGAGGGATGGGCAGGAGTCAGCCATGCATGGATCTGGGGAGCAGGGGGGTCGGCAAGTGCAAAGGCTCTGAGGATGTAGCTTCTTGAGGGCCAGAAAGAAGGCCATTTGCTAGGTACACAGTGGAAGAGGGAGAGATGCGTGAGGTGAAGTCAGAGAGAAAGAGGGGGCCAGATTATGGGGGTCTTGCAGGTTGTGGTTAGGTTCCTGGGACTTTAATTTCAAGGAAGCTTTTGGAAAGTCTGTAGTGGTCAAATGCTATAATCTCACATTTTATGAAAGGTCATTCTGGCTGCTGTGTAGAGAATGGACCACACAGGGCAAGAGTGGAAGCAGGATGCCTTGCTGGAGACTTCACCCAAGCCAGAGATAATGGTGGCTCAGACTGGTGTGACAACAGTGCAGATGAAGAAAAGGTAAATTTGGTGCACTTTTAGAAGTTAAAATGGCAGGCCTTTTTGATGAATTGGATGTGACAGATGAGGGAAAGAGGAATAAAGGGAGATTCCTTGTTTTTTGTCTAAGCAATTTGTTGAATGGTGCTTTTGTCAGCTGAGACGGGAGAAGCAAAAGCTGGTGGAGGTTGAAGGTGGGCTGTCAATTTGTAATTCCTCTTGGGCATGCAGGGGTGTGGTAAGGCCCAGTCACCTATCTGGTGCCAGCTCCAAAGGGGCAGACCTCAGCTGGAACCTGGACAGGGCGACTTTTTCCCAGTGGCTGGCTGGAATCCACCTGCTTTCCTTTGCTAGCAAGCCCACTCCTGGATGGCAATCCCGTGAGTTATACCTGCAGGAAGTTCTACCTGTGCCTCTCAGCTCTCCTTGGATCTTGAGCCCCTGGCTCCTTCTCTGAGGCAGTTCCTGCCTTCTGTTGAATTCAGCCCAGTTCCACAAATTCTTAAGGACACCAACTTAGTTTCAGATCCGTGCTAGATGTTGGTGGCACAAAGACCTGCAAGGCACGGCTACGCCAGCTTCCACAGTTCCTGCCTGCTCTCTGGAGCAGGACTTTTAAAACATTCATTCACGGAGGGACTGTGTGTTAGTCCGGTCTCATGCTGCTATAAGGATATATCCAAGACTGGGTAATTTATAGAGGAAAGGTTTAATTGACTCACAGTTCTGAAGGGCTGGGGAGGCCTGAGGAGACTTACAATTACGGCAGAAAGGGAAGCAAACATATCCTTCTTCACACGGCAGTAACAAGAAGTGCCGAGCAAAAGGGGGAAGAGCCCCCTATAAAACCATCAGATCTTGTGTGAACTTACTCACTATCACAAGTATGGGGGAAACCGCCTCTGTGATTCAATTATCTCCACCTGGCCCCTCTCACGACACTTGGAAATTATGGGAACTACAATTCAAGATGAGATTTGGGCGGGGACAGAGCCAAACCTTATCAGACTGCAAGGGAGAGGTCTGTAACTCTTGTCATGTGGTATAAAATTTGTGTTTAGTTACATTATATTCATTTTTCTAGGAAGGGGACCTATGGCTTCTAATAGACACTATAAAAGGTAGGTGACCCTGAAATGCCGGAAGTGCTATTCTGTGGCTGCGGAGCCCACTGCTTAATTCCTCTCCCTCTAGTCTTGAGTCACCACCAGCATCCAGCCTTTCTCAAACTTGCAGCTGCATCAGGATGCGACCGATGTGATAAAATGCAGGGCAGGTCGGGATAGGCCAAAAAGCGGGAAGGGACTGGATCCCTTTAGGCTGCATGAGGGACAGGTATAGAATGCACCTGGAGAGAGAGTGGGGGCTTTAAATGCCGTCTGTGAGGTCTGGATTTACCCCTGCGAATGAAAGGGAGTTAGAAAGCATTTTAAGCATGGGTGACTTGGACAACTTTGTGTGTCAGAGAGTTGTCTCGTAGTTTGGTGGAGCACGGACAGGAGATAGGTAAGGTTGGAGAGGGAGAATCAGGAGGAAAGAATGGGAGATGACAGAGTATGGATTTGAAGTGGAAGGAAGAGAAATGGAAGGAGTGGCAGCTAAATGACCACTGCCTGTTGCTACAGGAAGAGGCTATTCTGAAAATGCTGAGTTTGGCAAAAGAGGCTTTGGGGGCTCAGGGGAGAAGAGAAGGGTAGCTTGTGGGCCAGAGAAGTGGGGAGATACCTGGGTTGAATGATGGTCTACAGAAAGGCTCCCTGGAAGATTAACAGCTTGACTCTTCCAGGCTTCTCTTGGAAGAGACTCTCCTGAGGTCCTCATGGGCAAATGGTTTGGGCTGAGGGAAGAGGGGACTGAAAGTCAGGGAGGCCAGAGGGTGCATGGCTGGCCATAGGCCCCTGCACGAGGAGAACTTGGAGAGGTCAGAGGCTGAGGGCATCCAGAATCTCAAGGGTAGGCTAAGCAGAAGCCAGGAAATCAGGGGAAGGACGGAGGCTGTGCTCACTAAGGGGGATTCCACAGGAGCAGTTGCTTCCTCAGGATGACTGTGCCCAGTGCCTCTGTATATGCTCTTCCCTGGGTTTAGAACATTCTGTCCTCCTTCATGCACATGCTTGGCATCACGCCCCAGGCTCTCGTCCTTCTGTGACCTCGAGAGCAGAGTCAATCACTTCCTCCTCCCTGCTTTCGCAGCCCCTGGGCTTGCCTCCTGAAAGCACTTTGCAGGCTGGATTCCTGGTAACTGTGTGTGCTTGCTACCCCCACCCCCAACCAGACTCTGGACTTCCTGAGGGACAGGCTTGTCTCTCATCTGTGGGTCCCCTGAGCCTAGTACAGCTGGTTGCAGCCCTGCTGTGGGTGTTGAATGGTTAGGTCCTGAGTGGGACAACCTTGCCAGCGGGTTTACAAAGAAGCCAGTGTACAACATAAATTTAAAAAATGTTTACCAATTTATTATAAAGGAGATTACAAAGAATACAAATGAACAACAGCCAGGTGGATGGAATAGATGCATAGGGCAAGGGATGTGGGAAGAGGCAAGGAGCTCCATGTTCTCTCTGGATGCACCACCCTCCAGGAACCTCCAGGTGTTCAGCTACCAGGAAGCTCCCCCAACCCAATCCTTCTGTGTTTTTAAAAAGGATGGCTAGTTGCCTTGAAGTAGGTGGCAATGCCTTAACTGTTTGCATGTTGTCAGGCCCCAGGACCTGTTCCGTCATTGTCAACGGGAGTGCTAACTTTCCTTACTTTCTTAAAACACACAACATGATGTTTTAATGTACATGTGTATAGTGAAGTAGTTACTACGGCTGAGCATATCCATGATCTCACATAGTTAACTTTCTTTCTTTCTTTTGGTGAGAGTACCTAAAATAACTCTCTTAGCAAATTTCCAGTATGCAATGCAATATTATGAACTATAATGCCCCTGCTGTTCATTGGATCGCCAATCTTATTCATCCTGTACAACTACATCTTTCAACCCTCTGACCTACACCTCCGCAGTCCCTCCCATCAATCATCGTTCTTCTGCTTTTATGTATTCAACTTTTAAATTTTTTAAGATACATGTATAAGTGAAATCATGCAGTATTTTTCTTTCTTTGTCTGGTTTATTTTACTTAGCATAATGTCTTTTTGGTTCATTTATGTTGTTATAAATGACAGGATCTCTTTCTTTTCAAGGCTGAATAATATTTCTTTGTGTGTGTTTATATTTTTATATAAATATATACATATAGCACACATATATATGTTTATATAATATGCAAAGAAATATATGTATTTCTCATATATATATTTTTAAAGAAATATATATGTATAGATATATGTATGTGATTTATATACATATATGTATATAAATTGTGAGATATTTATATATGTATGTAAATTGTGAGAGATATATATGTATATGTATCTACATATATATCTCTCACAATTTACATACATATATATATATCTCACAATTTCTTTATCCATTTATCTCTTGATGGGTCATTTCATATCTTTTGGCTGTTTTCCTCTCGGCTGTTGTGAATAATGCTGCAATGAACGTGGGATGCAGCTATCTTTACAAGGGGGTGATTTCATTTCCCTAGGTATATACTCAATAGTAGGATTGCCAGGTCATACAGTACTTCTATTTGTAACTTTTTGAGGAACCTCCATACTGTTTTCCATAATGGTTGTACCAATTTACATTCTCACCAGCAGTGTACAAGGGTTCCCCTTCATTTACATCCTTGCTAACCCTTGTCATCTCTTGTCTTTTTGTTAATAGCCAGCCTAACAGGTGTGGTGTGATGGCTCATTGTGGTTTTGATTTGCATTTCCCTGATGATTAGTGATGCTGAGCACTTATCTTTTCTTGTACCTGTTGGTCATTAGTGTATCTTCCTCTACCTTTGTTTTCCCTCTTCTTTCTTTCCTGCCTTTTTAACTTTACCTCTCGCTTTCCTTAAAAAGTCCTTTCCAGTCTTTTCCTCTGTTCTAGGAAAAGATAATAGAAAGATCCAAATGAATGATGGCTTCAGACATGCTGGGCCCAAGCAATCCCAGATACCCACTGTGGCCCGATCTTGCTCTGTGGACCCCTCCCTGCAGTACATTTAAGCTGGACCAGCCTTTAGTGGCGGTGGTGGGGCTCTCAAACAGTTGCCTCCTGCCTCCACCATAGGAGATCCCGGATTGTCTTTGGAAACCTCAGTAATGCAGGTGAGAAAACAGGCACAGAGAGGGGAAAGAAGCTACTGATAGTTGCACAGCAAGTTCCTGAGATGTCAAGCTTGCCCTGCCACCCCGAGGCTGTGTGATCTATTGCTAGCCACAACTTCGTTTTCACATCTACAAAATGGGCATAACAAGAGGAGAGTTAATTTTGAAGATGTTCTGAAAGTTTTTTCATATCTATCACTGATAAACAGTGGGCTGTACCTAGGACCTAAATTTCCTGATTTCCAGCCTCGTACTTTTTGTATCCATCAACTATGTTTGATAGAGCTAAGAATGAACTGCTCTAGTTTGGATGTGCAGCCACTCTGGGCGCAGAAACTCCTTAGCCAACCACTGTAAGTGCACTGACTTCATGCAGACTTTTTATTATATGCTGGAGATCCAGTAGAGGAAACTGTGGGCAGCAAAAGTGAGTGAAAAATTGCTCCCTCACCCTCAGCAAGGGTTCATTATTAATTCAGCAAATATTTATTGAGGACCTATTATGTGTCAGGGTTTCTAGCCACTGGAGATACAATGGTGAGCCAGACAGCAAAGTTCTTGCTTTCATGAAAATTCTGGATCTTTCTTCACTTCGAATACCCTGACTTACCCTGCCCTAGACTAGTTTCAGTTCCCCTAAATCAAGGGCCAGAAGGCTTCTTCCCCTCCACCCTGGATCCCAATCCCCAGCTCTCTCTAAATTATAGCTCTGTGCCCTAGGGCAAAGTGCCAGGCACAGCAGGAGCACTGGCAAAGCCTTTGGAAGCCAGAGATAATATCCCTTATCTCCCCCAAGCTCTTCCCCAGGAGTCGTGGTCCCCTGCTACTGAGCTCTGGGCTTTGTCAGGGATGGGCTGCCCTCTGGGGGTCTGGCCGGATTCTCCCAGAACAAAGGGTAGCTCAGCTTCAGGCAGGCTCCCTCTGCCCCTCCTCTACCTCACTCTGAGATAATTCAGTCTTACTTGAATTCCCCAGCCTCAACTTTAGGCGCCAGCTTGAGCCTTGTTGAAATTTCCCAGTGTCCACATTTATAATGTCCAGGCCTCTGCTTTTGCTCCAAGCTCAGAAGCCCAGGTCTGGCACCTCTGAGAGTAGCTGACAATCTCCAGGGTTTCCAGACTGCCCTGCTGAGATGGAGGCAGCCTGGGCTGATGCTGGAGCCCTAGGATGGCCACAGATAGGCCTGGAGTTTGGTCCCGTTTCTGCCACTTGCTTCCTATGTGATACGGGGCAAGTCACTTTCCATTTCTAAGCTAAGGTTACTTGCTCATGTGTTCATCCATCCATTCACCCATCCAGTAAGCCTTTTGACTACTCTTCACTGCCTGTTGGATCAAGTCTCATCTCCTTGACGTAGCATTTAAGGCCCCTCCATCTAGAAGGAAGCTGGATGAGAGGTTTTGTTTCCTGAGTGCTCTTGTTCTGCCCTCTGTCTTACCAGTCCTTCCAGATGTCTCATCTGGAACCCCAGCTGGCCTCCTGTGCCAGGCAGCCTCGCAGGGGCACACTCGAGGCATCTGAGCAAGAGAAGCTCTGTCTTCTCTAGGAATTCTGGCTGCCTGGTGCTAACAGACTCAGAGTTTTGGAAGATGCTTTTCCAGTTCCTGAGTTCAGGCCTAAGCTTAGAGGTGGAAGAGAGGAGTAGGTTATATCAAGAACCAGCGAGGGCCAGCTGGTCAATAGGCTCAGTGAGGTAGCCTCTCGGTAGACAGCCTAGGGGGGGAAACAGATGGGAGGACAACGAGTTCTGTAGAAGCTGAGACCTGGAAGTGGCCATGGGCAGTTGGTTTGTCTCAGAAATTGCGGACTGAGGTTGCTGCTTGCCTTGGTGCCCAGACTTTAGAGGACAGCACAGCTTGGATATGCTGGGAATGTGTCCTGTTCCATCACTATGACTATGGTGATTAGTTCAGGGATAGTTGCATGGCCCAAAGTGGTCTTTCTGAGTGAATTCAAGGAATAAAGCCTGAGCATTGGGGAGGAGACTTGTTCTTTTCCCACTGCACTTATATCTGGGAAGATGAAGCTTGGAATTGCTGGTAGCCATTTTCCCATAGATGTGAAATCTGAGATTGAAGCCAACAGAGACAGAGCAGAGCAGAGCAAAGGCACAACTAGACTGGGTGATGCCATTGTTTGAGCCTAGAATGAAGCTTTGCCTGAAGCTGGCTATCCGTGGTACTTTTTAGTTCCATGTGCTCTTTTTTGCTTAAGCCAATTAGAATTTTTAAAAAGTCGCTTGTAACCAGAAGAGTCCCACCTGACACACAACCGATGATAAAATTCGTCTTCAGAAAGATCAATGTGATAGGGGAAGATTCCTCAAGAGATCATCAAACCTCAGTCTTACAAGGACTCAGTGGAGCTCAATTGTTGATGACTGCTATCTTGTGTGGGATCTAATAGAGGCCCCACTGATCTAGAGACCAACCGCCTCGGGGCCCAAGACAGCTGCTCTTTGACTCCAAATGAGGGATGATTGGAGCCTGTCCACCTGGACACCGAGGCACCTGCCTTGCTGTGTCACATGTATCTGTGACTAAGAAGAGATTGGACTGGTTACTGCCTAGCTCTGTAGCCCAGTTGGCTCACATAGTCCAGGGAAAAGGGATTAGTTAGACACCAGAACTAGCACTTGGCAAATCCACCTGGGGTGGGGGGTGCTTCTGAAAGGGGTCTACTTAGAAATAAAGGCTGGGAGAGAAATCCTGTGTCTCTCTGATGTCCAACATAGCCATACAAGCTGGCTGCCACTCCTGGCTATGACTTAACCTTCTGACAGCTCTTCCCCAAATGGACTTCTGGGATTCTACCTGGACAAAAGGAGCCTAGGCAGAGAATTCAGGGCTTTTGTCCTGCAGAGGTTGAAAATGTAGCAGAGCAGAATGAAGATTAGATGGAACTGAATACTGGAGCATACTGCAATTGTCCCTTGATCTCCGTGGGGTATTCGTTCCAGGACCTCCCACAGATACCAAAATCTGAAGATGCTCAAGTCCCTGGTATAAAATGACACAATATTTGCATATAACCTTTGTGCCTCCTCTGTATACTTTAATTGTCTGTAGGTTATAGTCATGTGCCACATAACAATGATGGGCCACATATGCAATGGGGTCCCATAAGATTATAACGGAGCTGAAAAATTGCCTAGTGACATCGTCATCCTCATAAGGACATAGTGCAATGCGTCATTCATGTGTTGTGATGATAAACAACCATTCACATTGTTTCTTGTGTAAACAAACCTACTGCACTGTCAGTTGTATAAAAGTATAGCACATACAATTATGTGCAGTGCATAATACTTGGTAAGATAATAAATGACTATGTTGCCGGTTTATGTGTTTACTATATTACACTATACTTTTTATCATTAGAGTGTACTCCTTCTGCTTATAAGAAATCGTTAACTGTAAAATAGCCTCAGGAGTCTTCCAGGGGGTATTCCTGAAGAAGACATTGTTAGCATAGGAGATGACAGCTCCATGCATGTTATTCTCTCTGAAGACCTTTCAGTGGGACAAGAGGTGGAGGTGGAAGACA